TGTATCTGTATGTTTTTGTCTGTAAAGCACTTTTTTAAAAATAAAAATAAAAACTAATTTCCGATCTCGCTGGGATTCGAACCCACGACCTTCGGATTTGTACTACCGATGCTCTACCAGCTGAGCTACAAGGCCAGACTGGGAACAGGTCGCGGGGTGAAATGGATGTTAGGTTGCAGTAATAGAATAATGTAAAGATATTAGTAAGAGGACCGCATGGCACTATGATAGACACGAAATAGAAATGAAAGAAAGTTATAGACCTTAGAAGGAGGAAATTCCCTTAGGAATAAATACCCTTAGGAATAAATTTGGAAATATTAAATCAAAGCTCAGCTGGTAGAACATCGGTAGTACAAATCCGAAGGTCGTGGGTTCRAATCCCAGCAAGGGTCGGAAATTGATTTTCCCAAATTTATTCCTACAGGGTCTTTATCCCGGAATTGCCTCCTTCTAAGCACTATAACTTTCTTTTATTTCTATTTCGTGTCTATCATTGTGCCATGCGGTTCTTTCATTATTRTTTTCACCGGGATGTGACTGTARGTCATTATTTGTCCAAGTAATGACCTCCTGTTCTGTCTCGGTGCACATAAGAATGACCTGTTTCMAGTTTGAATTTAGTGAATTCACCACCCCCGCTCTTCCCTGCTGAATTTAAAACCCTCCCCGGTTTTTTAGAATCTTTGATTATCGGAAATAAATAATGCTATAAAACAATGAGACTATATATTAATGAAAGATGTTGAACTTAAGTTTCTCGAAAATGCTCACATCAATGTATTTGAACTCTCAGAAACTTCAGCARTGGATGTCTAGTCAAAGTTGTTCAAAGTTCAATAAGAATCCTAACCCTAACCCTAACCCTAATGGAAATTTGTATTAAATTTGAGATTGACGTTGTTACAGAAAAAAAATTAGGCAGCATCTTGTTTTTTCGCTAGAGCGCAATCAAAGTTCAGCCGCGTTTCGAGCTATTGTTAGGTTGTGTAACCCTTTAACGTTCTCTTTAGGGATTATCGTTGCTGCAGGAACGATGCTTCTAAAAATTACAAGTTTCCGAGATCGCAAAAGTAAAACACCAAATGTACTCCATTACAACAGCTTGTAATATAACTCTATCTTAGAGTTAAAAAGATTTCACATCAAGCGCGATACTTGGGCAAAATCGATCCATGAAAAATAGGAATGCCCAAATTTCGACTTTTTGGTACACCAACAAGGCTGGGAATCACGTCTTTTCGTCTTCAGTTTTAGAATCGAAATCATCTTTTACAAATCAAAATTCTATGTTTTTTGAAAGTAGTAAATAAATGTCAAATTTAACAATGGTTGATTAAATAGAATCAAATTGTACTTACAAACATTTTTTTTCGGTCAAAAAAGGCGTTTGGCAAGGWTGTTAAGACATATCTGTAGGCTGTCTTGTTGTGGTTAAGTGCGTCTCTTTTCTTGCTTGCCTTTCACTTCAACCTCCTTTTTTTTCCTTGTTTTTATCTTCTAATTTCTTGTGTTCCYCTTCCTTTTTCTCTGGTATTTATTTGGATCAAAAAAGATCGATTCACGTGACTGATTTTTACTGTCCCACTTTTTGACAAAATAAGGTTACTAACGCCAAACAGCTCACACATCTTTAAATGAAAGGTCTATTTATCTAAAACTCTATTCTTATTTCGCTGTTTCTGTCTCTCTTCTCTTTTTGTTATTGTAAGTTTTTCTCCTCGTTCTTTTTCTGTTTTTCTAAAGTAACGAATAATATCAGCTCATGAATGTTACTAATACTTTTTACTTCATCTTACAGTTTTTTTCTTTCTCAACCAAATTCTTCCCAATCATTAAGTCCATTATCAACAATATTTAAACACTTCAAAGTTTACCTTTCCTATTTCTTTTCTTCCTCGGTTTTCTTTTTCATGAAGTTTCAGTCAACACTTTGAAGTGTTTTGGATTGAGACTCTTTGGGTTAATGATTTATATTGGGGCATCACTCGTTGTTTGTCACCTTCTTTTTGAACGCTCGCAACACGAAACTTAAAAAAAAAATAATAATAATAAAATAAATACGCCACTTCAAAAATAAACATCTATTTAAAATTCTTTTATATGCAACTTAATTTTTTGTTAGTTTATAATTGTTTATGATTGAGAAATTAATAATTCACACAAATTCAATCTGTAGGTAGTGATATATACAAATGCTGCAATTTCAAAGGAATTGAGCTTCAAATCTACGAAAAATGGTACATCGCACGTGAAGCGAAGATTTAGTACTAACAAGATATATTATATATATATATCAGTGATTTCACAGAGACATGAGCTTTCGAGACAATTCTTGAACGATAAACAGTATATACAAAACCGGAGTTTCTAGTTCAATCGGCACCCCAAGACTCAATCTACTTGTTGGTCAAKGGGTGAATCAGTGTGTGGAATTAGGAAACCTAGAAAACAAAGATAATAATTCATATACAATAGAACGTAATGTTTGCTTCTTCTGCGAATTTTCCAAAAGAATGAAATTACAGATTCAAGGACTCAAAGGTACTACTCTTTCCAGAAATTTGATTTTCGTCAATCAAATCTACGAGGACGAACAAACACTGCACGGACATCAAAGCCTCCGCGAACGACCGCCAAGTGTTTAGAGATCTCAATTATATCACAGAGACAAGCGATTACGGGGAAATGTTTATTTAACGCTAAAGAGTAAATGCAAAGCCGAAACTTTTAGTTCAATCAGAACCCCAAGGTCCCAAACACTTGTTAGTAAATAGGTGAATTGTACTTAGATGATTAGAAATTAAGGTTCTGGTTCAGGTTCAGGTTCAGGTTCTGTTGTGGCGTGTTTCAAAATAATCAAAACTAAATAAACTAAATAGGTATCAAAATTTTACATTTATTGTGATATTGCACAAAAATGCAAGCACAAGTTTTTACTTTGCCTAAAAATACAACCAACTGATTAGCAATTGGAACGAAGCTGTGAAAAGCTGTGTATTTCGATCTTGTTATCGATCACACATATCAAAAATATCTTGAGATGAACCTGCAGTCAAAATTCCTAATAACTATGATTGAGAAGGTAATAAGTTACAGTGTTTTTCGTTCAATTGCTGTGAAAGGGCGACTAAGAYCTTCAATGTTGACGGATTTATCTAACAATGCACAAACACCTTGGGGGGTGAATTCTGCCAAACATGTCTCATGCGAATCATATATCCTAAAACCAGTGTTTCAATAACAGAGATAGCACACTGTAATCCACACAGTCGAATATGTAATTGGCATAGATTTTTTCATAAGTATTAAATGAAGTACAGTATTTATATTCTTTTTTTTGACTCTTTTCATGTAAATTTCCTTTTATAGACYATAAACAAAATTAAGCTAAAAATAACATCTACAAGTAGAACTCATGAAACTATAATGATTTTTCTTGTCTTCTACTATTATTGCTATGTGCACAACATTTTTATAAAAAAAAAACATCAAGGCTTTACATTTGTTAGGCGATACTACACGCTATTTTCAATCAAAAATCCAAATCTTACAATTTCATGCCTTTAGGGTTACTCCTATAGAAATTTTATTTTTTTTCTGAAATCTGATTGACTAAGCTCATAATTGGCGATTCAGAAACACCAACCTAAACAAATTTAACATTATAGCACCTAGCTATATTTTCCCGAGCTTTTTTTCCTAAGCAGGTATCTTCAGGGTGACAACGTTACAAAAATTCATCAATATAAAGGAAAACAATGAAATACAAAAGGGACTGAAAAGCTAAAAATAAATCAACAATCAAGCTCAAGSCCTTTTTAAGAAGTTGTTTTTGTGGGATAGTTCTTCGCTTTAAATCGCAAATTGGGTGTCTAACGGATAAGATATTTATATGATTGAATGATGTAAGATTCCAATTTTCACCATAAGAATTGGTATGTGATAATAGCTGACATCCAGGTGTCGCCGAGAAGGACATTTCGCTATATTCACTACACAAGAGGACGTTCCAAAAATGGCGTATGTTTTTTTTTTACCCTAGCGTCTTGAATAAAGTATACTATTTACTTGCACTAGGTGTTTTTTAATACGAATGTTCTACCTAATGTTATGTTTTCCATGTAATGTATATAAAGTGTCAATATGCTTTTAGCAGCCCAAGTCAAAGTAAAAAAACGACAAAACAAAACAATAACGACATACTGATATCTCTCACTGAACCACTACCTACTTTATGCCAACATCCAGCTATAGGGAAAGGGTCTACGTTTATATCATAGGAGACAATTTATTGGGGGAAATTGTTTATTTAAACCTAAATAGCATATACGAAGCCGAAATGTTTAGATTTGAATCACATCCCAAGGCCCAAAACACTTGTTGGCAAAATGGTGAATTGTGTTATGTTTCGATCTTGGAAAACACCTTGAAAAATGCGCCCATGAATAGCAATTAAATTAGTATAGTTTTGTCTTGTTTCAAAATACGCTAAATACAAATCAAGATGCTAAAGTATTCTGAAGGAAAATTGCACGATAATGCAAAAAGGGAAAACCAAAATCTATTGTGAATCCCTAATTCACCCTAAATGATTTATAAAGCTGAAACAGGGAAAGTCGAAACGTGGCAAGTCGTGGCCAGTCTTATTGCTTGAGACTTATTTTCTCTACATCCTCAAAAAACAATCTTACAATAATTTGAGGAGATTTTAATGACAAAAAAAAATTAAACAATCGATTTTGATAAGAATATTTGCAATCTTTGCCACCATAAAAACACGACTAAGGAATATATGGCTCAGAATATACTATACACTCATCTCTATCAGTCACATCCTTATGGTCTTAGTCGATATGGAAAGTACAAACATGGCAGGGGAGCGTCTTCAACGAAAGACAAATGCAAGCGAAAGCAACCAGGACAAAAAAGTAAATTAAGAATATATTGCCTATYCGAGACCTAATACTCTTTTCAAACTTTTGAAATCTTTCACAGGTTAAAACCTTTAGACAGMGGACGATAAGCACTTTCTTCTGTAATGTCCATTATATTCAAACCTGAGGAAAGTTTGTTGTTTAAATCAGAAAAAATGCCMTATTACATGCAACATGAAGTGTGGAAATGATTTTTTCCAGCTAATGATGAATCGGCCTAAAGTATCACAAGTTGCAGTAGCAAAATAAAATTTTAGACGCTTTTCAAAGCGTCTAAAAAAACAAAGAAATAGAACTGCCATAAACATAGTAAATATTTAGATGATGCCAAAGTATCTAGGTTCAAGCACCAAACAAAATCTTCTGTTCGGCGTCAAAAACATAGATGACGACATCGACACGACATTGACACCAAAATATGACCAGATAAATGTTAGTAAACCTCCAAAAATTTCATAGGTGTTGCTGTCTGCCTYAGTTCTCAATTTTATTGGCTTTCAGCGATCGAATCTGAATAGAGTTAACCATGAACAATTTTTTTTCTTACATTCTGATAAATATTCTATTCATTTGTGCAACCGTTGACGTCATCGACTTCCTCACCTCATTCTTAATGTGTCGTGAATTTTAGGATAAATTATGTTAATTTATGTGATGTATAACATACGTGTCCGAGAGAAACAGATAGCATATTGATTTTCTCCAAATATCAGTGTTGCTGAAGTAGGCTTGATTTTGAAATTATACAGGAGCTGTCTCAACCACACCTCTTCTTCTTGCGCTGTACTGGCCAATGCTATATATTACTCTGCTTCTGCTTCTTGTTTCTTGCCTTTCCAGCTAATAAATTCCGTCCCTCCCATGTGAAAAATGTATCCCGTGGTTGACTTACGATCGTCCAGCTCCAGTTCCAACAATTTTTTTTTATTTCATCTTTGCTGAATATTAGACCTAGGTCTTGCGTGGCATTGAGGTATCGTATATTTCGCTTAACTGCTGTCATGTGTTGCTTCGTGTTTATTTTTTTCTAAGATCTTCTTTGTATAGACTGATTGTCCCATCCATATCTCTCCAGTTTCAGGTTTTTGGACAATTAAAATACACTCACAAAAAAAGGGAAAAAAAAGTCTCAAAGTCTATTGATGTGCAAATGCATGGATCTCCCGTAGTTCGAGCGAAATCCACTTTTTTTATAATTTTTATCCAGATTGGTATCCTAACACCTTGGAGATTGCTTGATCCCGTAGGTGTTCTTCCTCAATCTGCACACAATATGCTATTTTCCTTCAACCTAATAACCTTTAGGTTGTTTCGTATACACCTCCTAGTTCAAGCTCTTCTTTTAAAAATGCGGTGAAAACATGCATCTTCTGTTACTTCAGTCCATGTTGTGCTACAAAAGCAACAACTGTCCTTACCGACTCGAGTCTAAACATTGAATTTCCTCATCATAATCAAGACTAAATATATTTGTTCAAAAAGGCGTGCCTTGTAACGTTTTACTGATCCGTCAGCATCAGTTTTGGTTTTAAACACCCATTTGCTTTACACAGATTTTCTGTCTTTGAGCAAATCAACAAGTTCCCATATGTCATTATCGTGTAGAGACTCCATTTTCCTTCCCATTACCTGCCACTTTGCTTTGTTTGGTCCTGACAAGGCTTGTCTCACCTTTTCAGGTTCTTTCACGTCGGAATCCTAGTAATCAAGTTCGCTTTTTCCTCCCTTTGATCTACTCAGCGGCGCTTCGGCCTCTTCCTCAGTGTCTGAAGTACAGGAAAGTTCGACAAGACACTGTTTCTCCTCCTGCAGATTGTGTTTGTTCTCAATTGTCAGCCTACTAGATTCGTGAAGATGACATCATGACTTTTCCTCTCTCTGAATCGTAGAGTCGATATCCTTTAGTTTCAGATCCGTATCCAAGAAGAATGCACTTTCTTGATTTTTTGTCTGGTTTCTTACTTTCATCCGTTGAGTTAGCATATGAAATACATCTAAATATTCGCAGATGCCTTACTTCTGCCTTTTTCCTGTCCAAGTTTTCTCTTTTTTTGCTTTGACTGCTTTGGCTGGACTTGCTGTTGACTGGCTTCCGCCCAGAAACTCTTTGGTAACTGCGCATCTCATAGATTTCACAGTTCAGTTTCCAACTAATGTTCTGTTCATCCTCTCGGCTACTCCATTCTGCCAGATTGTTTTTGGTATATTTAGCTCGTCTAGAATTCCTTCCTTTGACAGATAGTTATTGAACTCCGTTGATAAATATTCTCCACCTTTTTCTGACCGTATTGCTTTGACCTTTCTTTCAGTTGGTTTCTCTACAAAGGCCTTGAAAACTTCGTTTTTGTGCTTGAAAACATAGATCCAGACATAGCGAGACTTGTCATCGATAGAGGTCAGGGAATATTCACCAAAGACTTTGCATTCATCTTACCGCAGACGTYTGTGTGCACTAGACCAAGTGTTTCATCAGATCTTTTACTTTGTTCAACAACTTGCTTCGATGCATTTGCCTTAAGCACAGGATTCACAGAAGCTTACGTCTTTTGACGTTTCATAGGTAAGCCAACTCAACATGTTGCCCTTGACTAACTTCTTCAGAGATTTGTGGAGATTAGATTAAGTAAAGTAAAGAAGTATCATCTGACAGCAACATTATAGCCAATGCGCGATCTCTTCTGGCTATAGCCAATAACTTAGGAATTTCTTTAACATCTGTAGCCGATTTTTCCTTTCCATTAACAATGTGTCCCACAGTACCAATCTCAATGCCATTCTACACTGCACCTTCCTTGTTGTATAGTTTAGCTATCGCCACTATTTTTGAATAGGTAATTCACTAGTTATCCATTAATCCACAGGTAGTCCAATTTACGAGACCAGGTCAGCCGGTTATTATTCAAATAACAGCGACGAACTGCTAAATCTTTTGCAATTGAGATGGTGGGAACTAGCGGTAAACTAGTGTGAGCTGCGTCGGTGTTTCTAAAGAAACAGTTGTGTAAAAGGATAAATTTAACACCGTAAAAAAAGTATGTGTAATAACTTACTGACGTTTCGGACGTTAATCCTCCGACGAAGGATTAACGTCCGAAACGTCAGTAAGTTATTTCACATACTTTTTTACGGTGTTAAATTTATCATATCTTTTTACACAACTGTTTTGCAATTGAGAACGAGCTTGGCTCATAACCTGTTGACAACTCCCTTTTCTGGCTTTAAGACAGTTTAAAAGAGTATCCAGAGCTTCAATGATAGACGACAATATGATTTTTTTTGGCATAGACGATTTAATTTCTCGCAAGTTGACTCACAATGTTAAGACTCGATTACACTACTTGTTCACGCGAAGTTACAATGATCAAGAGAAAGCTAACAGGCGAGGTRACTAATTTATACTGTCCTGAAAACGAGGCTAATTACATAGGAATTTTAAATAGGAACAACTGTAACATCAACAAACAAAACTACGTAGCTTAATATGTTGAATGTGATTCTCACGAGTGCCTATTTCGAAAATTTTTGCACTTTTTTCGAACGAAAAACAATTTTTGCCCATGACCGTGTCTGTGTCCTCTAAAGGTCGTCAGCCAATCAAGTCGAGCTTAGTCTATAAATAAAGATAATTCTACCATGGCCTTGCAGAGTTAACGATTCTGAAAAAAAAAATATGTTTCAAACAGGCTTTTGCTAATTTGGCGACGTCAAATTGCGTAAAAGGTAAAGTTTGACTTAATACATGAGCTCTTTAATAATCCTAGTCCTCTTGGGGTTCGTTTTTGTTTACCAAGTAAGATATATTAATTTTGAAACAAAGCGCYGACTAGACTGCGCTACCAGCTTTGAAGCACCTTCGGTGTTTTGGTCTTGAATTACGTCGCGGTAATTTAATCATTTATTAAAGATTTTTTCGTATTACGACAAAATAAACTGAGGCTGGCAAAAATTCATTTTCGAAAAAAAAGATCAAAACGATTAGATTTTTATTGCGGCGAAAACAAATCAATTTTTTATTTTTTATTTATTTATTTATTTATTTATTTATTTATTTTTTGCTAGATATCGAAAAACCTTATCCATAGGTCATTGGCAAAGCGTCATTTGAAGTCGCTTTACATACATTTCAGGTGTCGAAATTTAGTGAATTAAGATTGAGTTTGATTATTTTTCATAATTCTCTTGATTTCTACGAGAATAAGCTGCATGGCAACAAATCCAAAGCACTCGTCATAGTAAAAATAATAAAGGTCTTGGTTATTATTCTTGGAATAGCTAATGGATAGCTAGCAAACTAATAAATGTTTTTTTGATAGTCGGTAAGTTAAAACTAAAACCAACGTTGAGGAACTTTTAACTTACCGACTATAAAAAAACATTTATTAATTTGCTGTAGCTATCCTTTAGCTATTCTAAGAATAATAACGAAGACCCTTATTCGTTGAGCGTAAAAATACCCTGCATTATTCAAAGGTTGTTTTTAAGTTTTGAGTTTTAACATTTTGGATTTAAAGAAAACTATATGAGTCGCTGTACGCGCTACCATAAAACACTTTTAATAAATACTGAAACACATTGTAAAAATGATAAAGTTTTTGATAGCTAGTCTTTCTACAAGGCTACAACAATATTTATCTCAAAACCAAAAGTGAAATATATAAATATCAAAATTTACAATAATAGTAATAAAAARGGGAAGAAGATAAGGGCGCAAATCTGTACTTACARTCATTTGCATTGCTTTGATGTCTTCTCTTTTTTCTTCACTTCTTCGTCTTGTTRTKCTTTTTCACTCTTCTCTCCTAACTTTTATGTTTCCCTACTTTTTCCCTTTCCTGACAGCTATTTTTTTCCTTTTCTCAGCTCTTTCTTCTGTATTTTAGTACGTATAATCAGCAGAACTGATTATTTTCATTGATGCACTTCAAAGTTAACCTTTCTTCGTTATCTCGTTTTAATTCTTCCCACGTTTTCTTTTTGCATAGTCAAAATCCTGTCAACACTATTTCATGTTATGGAGTGAAACTCTGATTATTTTCGACCATCAGAAGTTGTTTGTCACCCTTTTTAGCGCTCATCACAGGAAACTTTTAAGTTTTTAAAAGACTTCAACAAAACAAAAGAAGGCGACACATCAAAAGTAAACACCACTGAACTCATTTTTTATACTTTTATACAGAACTAATGTTTTATTAATTAGGTCTGTATCAGGAAAACTGACGTTGAGTAATAATCAGCCCCGCACTCCCCTGAAAATATTCAAAATGTCTAAACTCGCGTGCAGTCAAACACATTTAAAACACACTGAAAAATCAATATTGTAGCAATGCGGTTTCGTTTCCTCGCGATTTACTCGATCGTCGGATAAGCTTCTCTGTTTTTCTTGGCGCCTCGTCTTGTATGAATTTGACCATCCAAAAAATCAACGACTCGGCGTTCATGTCATCAAGGCCAGCGTCAGCATATCCTGGAATGACTCGCTGTTTTTGAAACTGAAACTGGTGCTCCCATTTATGGCTTTCTTGTTCGAACGGTCTTTTTTCCGGTCGCAAAATAAGGTCAGTGCGGACCATTTTGTTGAATACTCCCCCGAACAATAGCGCTTTCCTTCATGTTTAGTTTTAGGTCTCCTAAATCGACTCGACATGTCTTC